GCGAACTGGCCCCGACGATCTTGTCTCCTCCATTCTCTCTAAGGTACAATCCTCCTTTCATTTTTTTTTTATATTTAATTTTTATTTCATTGATCTTTTTTAGGGAAAATAAGATTAAGTTACTTAAAACTTGCATAATAAAGTATATAAATTTTTAAATAATAAAATATAATATTAATAATTAACTATTTGAATCGAATAAAGGACCTTAAAATTTGAAAATTAAACTTAATATTATTTGTTTTGACATATATTAGTAATTTTTAAATTGAGTTATAAATTAACCCCAAACCTGTCGTTCAGCAGTAGGGGTTGATCCACACTTAAATAAGGTCAGGGTTCAATCCTGTCTTGTGTATGCAACCGCGTTAAATCTTGGGGCCAACTATCCTACTCTTTGAGATTGTATTTAATTTATATATATATTATTGAGATAAAACTTCAGAAGATTATACATAATAAAGATACCATTAGATGTCTGCACGTATTAGCAAGATAAAATTTCGATTCTGATCAGAGAATCACGCCAATATATATGGTGTTGTATCTGAAGTTTTGTCCAAAAGAATATTCATGTAATAGATTTTATGTATGAAGACAAAACCTGGATGCAGTTTCCTAGTTTTTTTTTTGTTGAAATTATTCTCTAATTAAAATTGAATTTTTATCTAGATAATTCTCGCAATAAAGGTTGACATTTTACGATCAGAGTTGAATCTTGACATGAAGTTCCAATTTTGATCGGAGAACATACACAAAGTATTTTCCTGTATATTATGAAGGCTTATGGATTGTGTTTGTTTTGCTCCTTTTTTTTTTAGCACTAAGGTAGCTATTAAGTACAAATTACAAACTTGCTTTCGTTTTATTCTGTTTAGCTTTTAGAATATATTTTCAGCACTAAATATTAAGTTTTTGATCAGGTGGTGCAAACAGATGGAGGAGTTTTGCTGAAGAAGGAAGAGCATAAAGAGGTGGCTGAAGTGGCTCAGGAACTGCAGAAGTATTGCGTGAGTGAACCAGTGAAATGCCCTTTAATATTTGGAGGTGAATCCTTGAGATTGTGTTGAAAGTCCCTAACATCTTGTCTTCTAAGTTCAAATTTGTTTTTCTGTATCTATTTAAATTTTGCAAAGAAACTTTAGGGGTGCCTTTGGTTTTCTGTTTTCTGAAATATTTTAGGTGATGTTTTCGCTTATAATTGTAACATACCATATTGTTTTCATTTTGTTTTGTACTCAGTTGTTCTCAAGAATTTGCAAAGAAGATAGTGAAAACAACAAAATGAAACAAAGTGAAATAAGAACTAAAGTGAATATAAGGTAACGTTTTTATAGCTGTTAGTGGAGACATGTGAACTAGAAATGAAAATAGAAAACAAGCCAAATGTACCCTTATGGTATGCTTATCTTGCTCCATTTAATTTCACCCACCATTAGATATTCAATGATATCCTCAATTGTTCTGTATTTTATCTTTTTCCTCTGTATAATGTAGGTGCATTAGATATTATCTAATCGAGAAATGAATCCACTTTAAACTTGGAATCATTCATCTGTGCATTTTTTTCCTAACTGTATTCTAGTCAATTATATGAGAATCATTCAGTTCTTGCTTTACTATTTCTTTCTTGTTTATGCTATCCAGAGTGGGATGTAGTGTACTGTTCCCGACCAACGTCACCTGGAGGTGGCTATAGAAGTGCATTTGGCCGCCTTTTCTTTAACACAAAGCAAATGGTTCAGGCTGTTGAAGCTCCTGATATTGTGAGAAACAAGGTCGTGTTGTCTGTTTTAGGCTTTCTGGATGTGGAGGTGTCACTGAAGGGTATGTCATTTAACTATTTAAATGATGAATGAAACTTCCACTTGCTGATAGCATATCCAATTATCCAAAAAAACTATTGATTGCAAAACTGAAATTTGTCAGTTTTGTAAATTCTGAACTCAGAACCGAAGGAATAAATAGTTACTGGATAGTTTTAAGTTCTTTAATCAATATTAAAGCAAAAAAGAGCGTAAATCTTCACTTTAATAATCCTTGAAATTGTGTTAGTCAGTATAGTCCCTCACACTGGAATTTCATTTTAGTCCTTTCCCACTACATTTTTTGCTGACATTAAGGACTAAAGTAAATGATATTTGGCTACATTTTATAAAGTTAGAAACTATAGCAGAAGTTTTGTAAAGGTAGGAATTGAAGTGTTCAATGCTTTCAATTCCAAGGATGAAAAATGGAGATTTACTTATATTTTTTTTTGTTTGCTTTGTATAGTCTAATTCATTTTTCATTTACCATTAAACTTCTGTGCTGATTTGATGCGTGCCAATGTGAGACAGGAAAACTCAAGGCTCTGGATAGTGAATGGATTCAAGTTATATTCGAAGCACCTGAATTGAAGGTAGGATCATGGCAGGTCCAATATGGTGGTCAGAGTGAAGTTAAACTCAAAATCACTTATGTTGATGACAAAATCAGGTTAGGACTGGGTTCCAGAGGTTCCCTGTTTGTTTTTAAAAGAATATGAAATCAAAATGCAATAAGAAAAATCCTTTCAGGGAAAGTTCTGTCAAGTTTGTAACTTGACACCCTGCACAATTTCATGTATAATATGATTATGACTATATGAGTAGGAGCTTGAAGAGACCGTGTTACTCTTTGGCTAGTTTGTCTCAAAATGGACTAGTGTGTTGGAAGGTGCAAATGTAGTGTAATTAAATTGTTACTGAGACAGTGAGGCAATCCTTCTATTTCTTTACCGGCCTAAAATAGGCACTTTGTGCCTTCATGTATTTTTTTTAAGAAAAAAAGTTGCTTCAACCAATCTTGCTTCCTTCTGCAACTCTTTATGGTTGCTTCCACTTTTTCTGAAAGAAAAATAAGAAATAAAAGTAATAGAAGTTACAAAATAGTGAGGAGTTTATAATAGGAAAGACGTGAGTAATTTGAGGATAGTTACATAGATAAAAATGTTGTAAAGAAATGTGTATCAAAAGGATGTATTGCCTTACTTGGAAAAAGAGAATGATTTTATTATTATCATTCGTACATATTACATTTTCCTTATACCTATTTGTAACAATCTAATATTCCAAAATAAGGAAATAAGGAAAAAAATATTCTAAAAAATAAACTAGAAGATTCTTCAGATATTTTCTCTAATTAGGAAGATTTTCCTCTAATTACAACATTCCCCCTCAAGTTGGTAAATGAATATCAATCATTCCCAACTTGCCTACAAGATCTTGAAATCTACCCCGAGGGAGCCCTTTTGTAAAAATATCTACTATCTGAAGTTCTGTAGGAACATGAGTTGTAATCACAAAGTCTCTGTCTAGATTATCTTTGATGAAATGTCTGTCAATCTCAATGTGTTTGGTCCTGTCATATTGTACTGGATCATGGGCAATGCTCATGGCAGACTTATTGTCACAGTATAGTTGCACGGGGTTGTCCACCTTGACTTTAAGGTCATCCAAAATGATTTTCATCTAGAGTCCTTCACACATTCCTTGAGCAAGGGCTCGAAATTCAGCTTCTACACTAGAACAAGATACTCTATCTTGCTTTTTGCTCCTCCATGTTACCAAACTATCTCCAAGAAACATACAATACCCAGAAGTAGATTTTTTTTCAGTAATAGAACCTGCATAGTCAACATCAGTATATATTTTCATAGTTAATGTGTCTTCCCTTTTGAACAATAGCCCCTTTCCTGGGCTTGACTTCAAGTACTGGAAAATTTTGTCAATTGCTTGCATGTGTCTCACTCTTGGATCATGCATAAATTGGCTTACTACACTAACTGCATAAGCAATGTCTGGCCTTGTGTGTGATAGATAAATCAATTTTCCTACCAATCTCTGATATTGGGCCTTCTCTATAGGAGCACTTTATTCACTTCCAATTTTGTGATTCTACTCTATAGGAACTGTTGAGGTTCTACATCCTAGCTTTCCTGTTTCTTTGAGGAGATCAAGTACATATTTCCTTTGGAAGATGAAAATTCCCTTCTTGGAGTAAGCAACCTCTATTCCAAGAAAATACTTGAGTTTTCCTAGGTCTTTCATTTCAAATTGGGCTGCCAATTTTTCTTTTAATGTCAATTTTTCTATTTCATCATCTCCTGCAATAATCATATCATCCATATAGACAAGCAATAGAGTGAGTTTACCTGTAGAAGAGTGCTTTATGAATAGAGTATGATCTCCTTGGCTTTGTCTGTATCCCAAGGAAACTATTGCTTTTTGTAAATCTTCCAAACCATACTCTAGGGGATTTCTTAAGACCATACAATGCTTTCTTTAGGAGACATACCTTGTTTCTTTCATTTTTCACTTCAAAACCTAGGGGAATCTCCATGTACACTTCCTCTTCCATATTTTCATGAAGAAAGGCATTCTTCACATCCAACTGGTGTAAATCCCAACCAAAATGAGCAGTCAAAGCGAGAACAACTCGAACTGTATTCATCTTTGCCACTGGGGCAAACGTCTCCTCATAGTCAATCCCATAAGTTTGGGTATAACCTTTTGCCACCAATCTAGCTTTATATCTTTCTATTGTCCCATCTGCTTTATGTTTCACTGTAAATATCGATCTACATCCTATTGCCTTCTTGTCTCTTGGCTTATCAATAATCTCCCAAGTTGAATTTCTTTCTAATGCATTCATCTCTTCTTTCATGGCTTGACTCCAATGTTCAAGTTTCATGACTTCCTGGACTGAGGTAGGAATTTCTGTGGCATCAATGGCAACAATAAAGCTTATGTGCTTATCAGAGAGATTGTTAGTGCAAACATATCGAGAAATAGGATATTTAGCGCATGACCTTCTTTCCTTACTTAATGCAATGGGTAAATCCTCAGTAATACTTACCTTCTCACTGTTCCTCACCTCCGGATTAGACAATTTTTCTTGCTCAAGAGTCGAAGTGGGTTGTTTTCTTCTTTCATATTTTTTGCCAAAAAATTTGTCTTCTTCCTCTTTTTTGCTTCTTCTTTGTTGTGGACCATGGTAGCTTCATTGCTCAGGTCTTGGGCATCCTGCAAACACAAATATGATAATGACAAGAAGGAGAGCTCCTTCACTTCAAGTGCTTTCTCCCCCTGAAGTGGTAGACTAACATAAAAGGATTGAGTTTCATGAAAGGTGACATCCATGATGATAAAGACGCGACGACTCTGAGGATGATAGCATTTGTACCTTTTTTATTAGAAGAATACCTAATAAAGACACATTTAAGAGCTTTGGGATCTAATTTACTACGATTAGGATGATGAGAGTGAACAACAACAGTACATCCAAAGACTCGACTAGGAAGACTCGATATTAGGAGGGAAGAGGGAACAAAAGACAATCTCTATAGGACTAATGCCATTTAAGATACAGGTGGGTAACCGATTGATGAGATATGTGGTAGTTAACACACAGCTTCTTCCCAGTAATTTTTTGGAACAGACATTTGAAAAAGAAGAGCTTTAGTTACTTCAAGAAGATGACGATTTTTTCTTTCTGCAACCCCATTTTGTTGAGGGGTGTTCACACATGTTAGTTCATAAACAATACCATTATGAGACAAAAAATTGAGAAATTCATGATTCACATATTCAGTACCATTATCAGACCTGATTTTTTTGATATTTTTTCCAAATTGATTTTGGACAAGACGAAAAAAATTAACAAAGATTTGGAAAATTTCTGATTTATTTTTCATAAGGTATGTCCACGTGACACGGGTACAATCGTCAATAAAGGTAACGAACCATTTGGCTCCAGAAATAGATTCTACGACAGGTCCCCAAATGTCAGAGTGAATTAAATCAAATGGAGAAGTACTCTTTTTATTACTAATAGGCTCAACAGATCCACTCAAAGAGTTTCACATTTACTCAATGAGGGTTTTCAATTATTGGGCCCCCAAAGTGCCATATTAATATCCATACTATCAGATTTTTCAACTTCTAAAAATAATATCTCTTTTA